CGAACCCCCCCACCTCCTCCCGCCCGAGCGCGGTGGCGGAATCGCGCGGCAGCGCAACTGGATACTCCATCTGCCCGCTTCCATCCACGTCCATGGCATCCAGCACCTCTGGCGGTGCGCCCAGGGTGGTGGAGCTTGGGGAGCGGTCCTCCGAGAAGCGGGGCGTCTCAGAAGGGCCTGGAGGCCTTCCAGAAGGCTCCTTAGAAGGTCCCCTACCCCCCTTGCCCCACCCCCTTGCGCGCCTCGCCAACACTATGATATGGCACGCAAGTGCATGGATGCAGGTTTCTGGAATGTACTCAAGTATTCGCGGATTTCTTTCGTCGGCGCTGGACCGTACTCCCCCGGCGCGCCAAGCGCGCCATTGGCGGCCCAAGAAATCGGCACAGATCTTCGAATTAGTATATTTTTCGAATGTTTCGAAGCACCTGCTCCAGTTCGTCTGTCCCCATCTTCGTCGATAATATGTTGCGCAACTCCTTGTGCGACACCATGCCGTCGCCGTCCCTGTCCAAAGCCTTGAAGGCCTCGTACATGTCGGGCAAATCATTTGCGGACAGCTGGCGGGCGAGAACCACGAGCAAGATCTTCCGGAATGCTGAAATTTGCTGGAAATTCTTCAGCCGCGCCAGCACGCGATGCTGCACCGATGAGGTCTCAGGTGCGGTCTGGAGCCAAGGGTGCTCCAAAGCCTCCGCCGCCGACATGCGCATCTCGGGGTCCACAACCAGCAGCTGGCTGATCAGGTCCTTGGCCGCGTCCGAGACCGCGTCCCAGTCGTCGGTGTCGAAAGAATACTCGCCCTCAATGGCGTGATCAACCGATTGAAAGGGCATGTAGCCGCAGAGCATGACGTACAGCAATGTTCCCAACGACCACAAATCGCACTTCTCATCGTACGCCTTGCCAGCGAGCACCTCGGGGGCCTCATAGGCCGCTGTGCCTGCCTGGCCGCCTGGACTGACCACTCCCTTGAAGTGGCGGGCGAGGCCAAAGTCGATCAGCTTCACAGGGGCGTCCTGGCGCCTGGAGAAGAAAAGTATGTTCTCAGGCTTTATGTCTCGGTGAACCACTCCGTGGGTCTCGTGGCAGTAGCGCAAAGCGCTGGCAATCTGCCGCACGATCTCCGCCATCCCGACCTCTCCGGTCAGCTGGTCCTCCACGATGCGGTCGAAAAGCTCACCCCCCTCGCAGAGATCCATCACCAGGTACAGGGCCTTCGCGTCCTCGAAGACCTCGTGGAGCTTGCAGATGTGAGGATGGTCCAGCTCCTTCAGGCAGTGCGCCTCCTGCAAGAAGACCTTGCGCTCCTCCTCGGAGAAGCGGTGCTTCGGTAGCTGCTTGATGGCCCGCGTGCCCTGCGTGCGCAGCGAGTCCGTCATGCCCTTCAGTGGCCTCGGCCATGCCTCCCACGTGGTGCCCCATGCTCCCTCGCCCAGCGCCCTGCCGAATTCGTAAATGTCATGCACGGACCTCTCCGTCCCGTGCTCTCGCACGAAGCGACTCGCGTTGTGCCCCCTGGAGGTGGACCGCCTCTTGTGAATGGCGAGCGCGCGGGAGGAGCTGCTCAGAGGCTCAGAGGAACTGCCCATGCTCAACGTCCTCTCCTTCCTTCGTGGCAGCGGCAACTGCTGAGAAGGCGGACATTCCTCCTCCCAGTGGAGGGAGGCCTTGCCGAGTTCCGCGCAGCCCTCCCTAAGCCCTAGAGACGCGTAGACGCTGCGAAGTGCTTCTGAAGCCTGCTCCCGGGGCGTCATCGTCCGATCCCTGACGGCCCTGACCTCCTCCCTCATCTTCTCGACCTGACCTCTGCGTGCGCTGGCGGGCCCCTTCCCGGCGGAGCCACCGTCCCCGGCACGGCCACCGCGGGACGAGACCGGCAGGAGAATGGAAGCCGGCGGTGGCCGCGCCTCGGGCTCGGCCTCCCCCCTCTGGGCAAACGGCAGCCGGACGGGCGCGGCGGCCAAGGGCGGCGCCGGCTCCGCACCGCGCTGGAGCTCATCGTGCAGGGCGGCACGCGAGCAGACGGGCAACTTGATCGCGGGCAGTGCCATCCACCTGCACGGAGCAAGTCAACTCTCATAACGAGCACCCCGCCGAGCGAAGCCTTTTAGCAAACGCACCCACGGAAGGAATCGAACAGGGCAGGGCTGTTTAGTAAACGCCCAGGGCCGCCAGTAAACGCCGCTCATCAGGGTCGGGGTGGTTTTTCCCCCCTTGAACCTTAGGTGGGGCCCCTCCTTCAGCACCCAGCTTGGTCGGACAAGCAGTGCTGACGGGCGCCCAGCCCGTCAGGCACCTGGGGAGGGAGGTCCTGCGCCTGGGAAGGAGTCCTACGTGGCCGGCCGGAGCTGGGGAGGAATCCTATGGGCTGCCATGGCCGTAGGCGAGGAGGGATCGTGCGCACAATGGTGCTCGAGCCAAAATGCCCGCCGCGTGGCCTTCGGCACACGAGGGCGGGTGTGAATGCCCGCTGGTTAGCTGGCAGGCTGTGTGTAGTTTTCAAGTGGCGACCCCCCTCTCCTCAGCGCGGGCGGGTCTCAGAGCTCGCCCCCCCCCCCCCAGGACGGGCCAGGGCCGCACCAAGAGAGCTCCAAAATGACGTCGAGACTCGGCAAGACGGTCACAATCCGCCACCGTGCCACGAGGCACTGAGAGGAGCGTCCGCAGGTCCCATCAGCTTCTCTGTGTTGGATGTATAAAAATGCTCTGCAAGGGCCCAGACCCACGAATCCCAGGAATTCCGAGGCGCTCTTGGGCGCTCCCAGGGTTCTCCGTGAGACTGCTGCCGAAGTCAAAAGCCCGTGAGCAACCATGTGAGCTGGCCCCGGACGCCCTACTGTGCCAAAATTGCCCGGAGGCCGCCACGAGGCCCACAAGAGGCCCCCAGAAGTGCCCAAGAGGTCCCGAGAGGTCCCCAAGAGGCCCCCAAGAGGCTCCCAAGAGTCATCCCAAGAGACCCCAAGAGACATGCAAGAGGCCCTATGGCCCACAACCCAGGCACGGTAGTGAGATGGGCCGAAGTCCACTAGATCCGCCGCCCCCTGTATTTATCACAGGGGTGCATGGCGTGCTAAGTGTGTACAAAACCCTTCCAATAGGTTCTCAGTGGCCTTCGGCGCATCCCACCACACGTACCGAAAAACTATAAAGGTGCTTCACCCGCCTCCGAGACGCTCAAGATGATATTCTACATGGTCCAAGATGGCCTCCAAGACGGCTCAGTACGGTTACGTAGATCAAGTTTCCGAGCGTCCAAAACGGCCCCAAAACGATCTCCCAATATTCCTCCAGATGGCACAATGTGGCACCAAGGCGGCCAAATACTGTCTCAAGACAACGCAAGAGGCCCCCAAGACGGCTCCAAGAGGACCTGCGGGAGGCCAACAACGTAGATTTCAAATGGGTTGTTCAACAATCGCACGTTCACGTCATTCCGGATTTCCGACACCCGACATCCGAAGACATCCCCAGAGGCCTTCAGGATAGTCACAGGATGACCCCAGAAGCTCCCAAGAGGGCCCCACTGGCCAGGAACTCAAGACGGCCCAAGAGACCTCCCAGACGATCCCAAGAGGACCCCATGACAACCCCAGAGACCTCAAAGACGGCCCTGAAGCTCCCGAAGATGACTACCTACCAGACCACCCCAACCCGACCCGTAGACCCGAATTTCGGCTTGGGGGGGTACGGGTTTCATACGTGTTTTTCCATGTTCCCCGATCTCCCCCCCACTGGAAATTGAGGGCAAATCGGGACCTTCGGGTTGGGTTGAGGTGGTCTGGTGGGCGGTGAGAAGAGGACGCCACGACGGCCCAGAGGGCCCCCCAAGACGGCCACCGAAGGCAACGAGGCCCCTTAGAGGCCTTCAAAAGCCCCCAAGAGGCACCCAGTAGGTCCCAAGAGGCCCGCAAGAGGTCAAATGTTCCTCCTCTTCCTCCTCCTCCTCCTCCTGCTCCTCCTCCTCCTGCTCCTCCTCCTCCTCCTCCTCCTCCTCCTTGTTCTTCCTCTTCTCCTCCTCTCCATTCCTGCCACGAGTGTTCCCCAAAAGGTAAACAGGTTTCCACGGCAGCTGGGGGAACAAATAGTCCAATAGCTTGGCAAGACTTCAGCCCAACGTTTGGCCAGGTAAGACGTTGCACAAGGCAGGGGGCTGTGGTTTTTCTCCCTAGGCGTCTTCGATACACCGACCTCCCAGATGCACGCCCCAAGATGCCCCCGAGAGGCCCTACGGAGCCTCCAGGAGGCGTCCAAGGAGCTCTCTTGAAATGCTCTGTTAAGCGAAAACAGATCCGCCGACCCGCGATCCTGGGGTGGTCGTCAGGGGATGGTCCTGCTCGAACCTCTCCTCCACTTTCTCTGCGGCCACCTGGGGCCCTCCGAGCTCGCCAGCCCGATGTGAATCGACCCATGTCGTAATCGATCGAGTCGAAGGGCAACCCCTTCCAATTGATTCCTTCCCTGGCGGGGGGGGGTCCTGGGGAGGGGTCCCGAGAAAGGGGTGGGGGCGGGGGCGGTGGTGCAACTTCCCGTTTCCCCACCCCCTCCTTGGGGTGATTCGGGCGATCTTGGGGCTAGTTTGGCTATGCTTGAGCCACCTCCTCCTCGAAATCAAACGCAAGCTTGTATCCACCCCCCTCGCTCAACGCGGCCCGCGGGGTCCAAGAAAAAAATGCAATCGCCAGTTTCGGCGCGAACCTTGAAATGGGGGCTCCGAGGGCGCCGCCGCGTCCCCGGCATAAGCTTGCGCTTGACGCTGAGGAGAGATGCCGGCCAGCTGGAGCCCCCTCGGGGCCGACTTTGGCACTCTTGGGAGTCTCGCAGGTCGTCCTGGTATGGGGCATACCCAGGAACATCGGCTCGCGCGTGATCGGAACAGGCTCGCCGTATCGGTCGCATGAGTGCCCACGAGCCCCCCAAGACCAGCCCAAGATGGCCCAAGCGGCCCACAGAAAGGGGCCCCCAAAGACACGCCACCGTCGCACCGCTGGAAGCCAATCCCTCCCACATGATCCCCCACCCCCCATGAGGCCCAGAAGAGGCCCCGAAATGCCCCGAGACGCGCCCAACATCGGAGCCCAAGCAACCATCGGAAAACGTGCGACAGCAGGCCCAATGTGACGCGGAACTCTGAAACGGTCAGGTCAGACGCCACACGAGCCTGGGCTTCAGTGAAGTGCCCCAAGACGCACCCAAGTGGCAACAAGGGCCCCCAGGAGGCAGCAAGAAGCCCCCACATATCCCCACGAATGTCCCCAAGGCCTGGCGCAAGTGGCGGGCTGGGCCAAGCACCATGACAGATTCGCCCTCGCATGAAGCCGCCTCTGCACCTTACCCCCGTCCCCAGTCCGCCTATTACGCCCAAGCTGTTCTGTTCTCAGCCGAGCAACGCCTAGCCTAAGTGGAACCGAAACAAGGAGACCGAGCAACGCCAGCGGCCGCCTCTGACTGGGCAACCCGCATCCACTGGCTCTGTCACGAAATGAACCAGGCGCGACCCTAATTAGGGGACATCTCCCTGCCGCATAGGCGCATTGCTTGGAATCGCTTGGCACTGCTTTACTATACTTTGCTTTGCCCGTGTTGCCTTGCATTGCTTGGTGGGGCTTGCCGTTGCTTTGCGTTGCTTTGTTTTGCTTGGCGTTGCTTGGTATTGCTTGGCTTTGCTTGGCATTGCGCTGCGTTGCTTGGCGTTGCTTTGTATTGCTTGGCGTCGCTTGGCATTGATTTGCATTGCGTTGCAGTGCTTGGCGTAGTTCCCTACCTAGGCTCTGCCTAGAAAAGTTCTTACTCTCTGAGCTTAAAGGGGCCCGGCAGTGTTCCCCGCCCCGGGCGGTTCCCCCAGGATCCGCCCCGCGGTTCCCCCAGTTACGTCCCCTTAGCTTAACGTTGCTTATATCATCTTAGCTTAACCTAACTTAACTTAGCTTAGTTTAGCTTAGCTTAGCTTAGCTTAGCCTAGCCTAGCTTAGCTTAGCCCAGCTTAGCTTAGCTCAACGCAGCATTAGCATAGCTTAGCATAGCACAGCACAGCATATCATATCATATCATAGCGCAGCATAGCATAGCACAGCATATCATAGCATAGCATAACATAGCGCAGCATAGCATATCATAGCATAGCATAGCATAGCTTAGCATAGCACAGCACAGCATAGCATGGCATCGCATAACATAGCGCACTATAGCGCAGCATAGCATAGCATAGCGCAGCATAGCATAGCATAGCATAGCATAGCAAAGCGCAGCATAGCATAGCATAGTGCAGCATAGCATATCATAGCATAGCCTAGCATGGCATAGCGCAGCATAGCATAGCATAGCATAGCATAGCGCGGCATAGCATAGCATAGCATAGCATAGCGCAGCATAGCATAGCATAGCATAGCCTAGCATAACATAGCGCAGCCTAGCATACCCTAGCATAGCATAGCGCAGCATAGCATAGCATAGCATAGCATAGCATAGCATAGCATGTCCTCGGGGCTCCAACTCCTAGGCAGGGTCGCTCTGGGATAATTTTGTATTTGGCATTGCTTGGCATTGATTCGCTTTGCTCTGCATTGATTGGCATTGCTTGGCAGTGCTTGGCATTCCTTGGCATTACTCGACAGTGCTTGGCATTGCAGCGACCGACGAATCCAAGGAACAAGACAGGAGAGCCCAAGGGACAGGACCAAGGATCCCGATAAAGAAAGGCAGGAACAAGACTGGGGAACCAAGAAAGGACCAGGGAACCCAAGGAACCAGACAGGGGGAGCCAACGAATCAACGACCCGGGGACGAGCAACGCCAGGGGCCGCCTCTGACTTGCACCCCGCACCAACCAGTTCTTTCACAAGGCCAGTAATAATCCCTTGGGCAAGCCTAATTGGGGAACTCATAAGAAACCGCCAGGGAAAGCCTAATTGGGAAACAAACGGATTTGATATTAGCGCATGCTTCCGAAATGTTTTGGAGGAGAGCATCACAACGGCCCAGGTGGCCCCAACAAACCACCGAGACAACGAACAAGGGGTCCGAGAACCTTGGCCTTATTTTTGCGTGCTCCCCACCGTGACGTTCGCTACGGGTGAGATGAAGGGTGTGGGGGAAGGGGAACGGCAACGAGGGGGCGCGAGCATGACAGCCGGCGCCCATTTGCGCATAATCACAGCTTGCCTGCGACCACCAAAACACGCGTGGGCTATGTGGGATCAAGACTCTACCTGGCCCTGATAATACCACGATAACCTGCGGACGCTACACTATACTGCGGACGGAAAAAATAGCTTGCAGGCGCCACAGTGTGCCTGTGAAGACCAAGACACATTCCTGCGAGCAGCACGATATAGCCTGCGAGTTCAACGACCTGGCTGTGAGCATAAGCCTCTCTATGCACAACACGCAACGGCATGCGAGAACCATAGAGCGCCTCTGAGCACCGGGATAGCATACGGAGGGCCTCAGCGCGCCTGTGAGCATCGCAGTGTGCCTGCGACTAGAAGAAGCACATGTGTT